GTGGTCCTTCTTGTGCTGAACCCGCAGCCGCTCCGCCTCCTCCACGAAAGGGCGCTTCTCACTCTCACTCAGCAGGCTGCAGAGCCAAGGGCACAATCAGGATGGCAAGGGCGTCCAAGCCAGCACCCGTGTCCACGCTGCCCGGGAGCTGGACTGTACCCAGACGAAGCACAAGAAGGGGACCCGGATGACCCTGACCAGGAAAGCATGCGTGTACCCGCACCTTGGGGGACACCAGGCAGTGCTCCCCCTCTCTGAGCCATGGGGCCAGTTGGTGAGATCTGTGTGCTCAATAATGTCACAGAAGGAGCGATAACAAGACCCAAATCTCATCTCCTTCTTCCTCTTCTGACTCCCCCAGCCTGTGTTTGTCTCTAAGGCAGGCGGGGGAGGAGGGCAGGACCCAGCTGAGAATATGCTACGGACAAAGCGAGCTTTCCAGGATCTCAGGGGGGGACTTCTCAGGCAGCTGGGCTTCTCGGACCTCCAGAAACTGACAAAATTCAGTGGTTTTCAACGAGTCTCAGACCACACACTGGCCTCTCAGACTCTTCCAGAAGCTCACTTGTAACTGCCTGCAGACAGGGCTTTGGGGCACAAAGGCACAAGTCCACAGACAGATACAGGAGCACAGAAGACCAACATGCAAGCTTTGATCGCCCACTCACAAGGTGAGGAGCAGAAAACAGTGAACCGGGTGCCCTGAACCCAAAGCCATCCATTTTAAAACCAAGTAGAGAGCATTTGGTGGGGTGGGCTGTCCTGAGCAGCAACTTTGTCACTGCTGCTGTCCAACTTTCGACAAAAGCCACCAGCCTCACCATGCCAAAGTGTGCAGCTGTGTGGGGAAGGTGCCAGCGGAGCAGACCTCCCTCTGCCCTTTCCAAGGAGTGGCACCTCCAGACACAGCATGCTGCCCACCGCTGTGTCCTGCTCCTGGACGGAGGCAACCTTTCCTGGGGTAGAAATAGACTCCCAGGCTCTGAGGCCACATACTCCCCACCCCCAACTCTGCATGCCAGCCACCACCTTAGGCAGGCTATTCCCATTCCAGGCTCCAGGAATGTGGCAAAGGTGCCACACTCCTGCTGCTGCCTTCTGTGGGCCCACACCCGGAGGGCCCGCGCCTGGTCCCTGCTGGCCAGAGGGTGTTTTTCCACTAGGGCTCGCCCTGGGAACAGCCACTGGGAGCAGGGCCGAGACCGGGCATAGCGCCACCTCCCCGAGCCCCCCAGAACTCACTCGCAGCCCCTGCCCCCAGACTGGGGACACTCACCGCCACAGCTTGCCCAGCGTCTTGCTGAGCTCGGCGTTGTGCAGGTGCGGGTACTGGTCGGCCAGCTTACGGCGTGCCGCTTGCGCCCACACCATGAAGGCATTCATGGGCCGCTTCACGTGTGGCTTGGCCTTGAGCGCGCCTCCGCCGCCGCCGCGCACAGGCATGGGCACTAGGCTCCAGTCGTAGCCCTTGAGCACCTGCCGTGCGGCCCAGGCCCTCGGAACCCGAAGGCGACGGCGGCGCGTCCGAGTCCGAGTCCTCCACGTGCGACATGGAGCTGGCGGTGCCAGACGGGCTGCAGGGCGGCTGGGCGCGGGACTCGCTCATGTCCAGCATCTGGCCCGCACGCGGAGGGACG